GAGCTGCCCCGGGGGGTGGCAGCGGGGCGGCGGGGGCAGCCTGACGGGGCTCCGCTCCTCCCGCAGCCGCAGGCCGGTGGCAAAGGCGGGCAAAGGGCTGGAAAACGGGACAGAGATGCGGAGGTGGCAGCCCGGCCCCGTGGGACAGCAGGGAAGGAAGGGCAGGTTGTGTGTGTGCGTGCGTCGGGTGATGCCCGACTGTAGTTGAAACATCCCTCGCTCAGCCACCCATTTCTCACGGAAAATGTCAAACTAAAGACCAGCTGAAGAAGGAGGGGAGCTGCTCCCCGGGAAAGACGCTGGACCTGAACTGGCCTTCTCACCTTTGGCTGGGTTCACAGGAAAGGTCTCCAAGACACTTAGAGTCCCAGCTGGCCCTTACTGCACCTCTACTTCAACCGCTCATTAAAGCTCCCCTTCTTCTCCCCCAACATGGGGGAAGGGCCCACTGATAGCTTAATAGAACAGACAAGCTCGGGCCCACGATGCTGAAATACTGATCTGAAGTGGTGGCAGATTAGGTCTTACTTTACTCCAACGAGTACTCCTTTCACCAGGAAGCAGGGAGCAGCTCTTTTCCATAATTTGGGCCTTTTCTAAATAGTTCACTCTCTCTCTTTTGCCTGTGTTTTAAATCCTGTCTATGCGCAAAAGGACCAAGGAATTCAACACTTCAAAGCTCACACTTTGGGTGAAAACCACCCGCTTTTTCAATATCCATAGGAATGTGTGCATATATGGCTCATTTCTTTTTCTTTTTATTACCCAAGACTCTGTTTTAATACTTTCATTTAGAAACTGTATTTTTTTTTTCAAGTCTGTAGTGATAATATTTCAGGAGATTTAAAAAAAAGGACCCGTTTCAAGTGCTTTGCACGTGCGCGCACACACACACACACACACAGAGGCAGACTTGAGGTCTGTTTGATAGCAGCAAATTCTCTTTTAGGCCAGTTTCTGATGTGAGAGATTTCTAGTTTTAAGTTCCTCTATTTTCCATTTCCTCTACACAAAAAAAACCCGCTGCTTATAATATTTCTTTCTCTCTTTAACTTTAGGACAAAACTTCTGAGTGTTTAATAAAGAAGGAACACCAGTTCTTAATTTTCAGCTTCAGAGAACAGGACTGCAGTCACCGAGGTATCAGTCAGATTTATAAAAGAAGATCCTTTACTTGAGGGTATGTGCCCCTGAAATTACCTTGTTCTAAACCCCTCGGGGAGCTGGGGGGAGAGGGAGGGAAACCAGGGTTTATTCTTTTTCCAGGATCCCTGGAGAAATGTAAATAGGTTGCAGAGGGAAAATGTCCTTTTCATGTGTCCTCCCTCTTCCCCTGTCTCCCCTCACCCTCCTCACACGCCTATGTGTGTCTGTCTGTCTGAAACGCGTGTCTCTGTTGAAAATGGGCCTGGAACTCCCTCCTGTGTTGGGATTAGGTCTTGGGGGACCTGGGGTGGAGTTACACTGCTTGCCTATTTTCATATTCATTAGAAATGGGAGGTTGCATAAGGAGCCCTGCTGAGCTTCAAGATATAAGAGCAACTTCGGGTTCCCCCTTTCAAGACAAGACAAATCAAAGGCTCGGAGGCAAAACAGTTCCCTGAGCTCTGAACATCTTTCCCTCCCTCTTTGCTTTCCTCCCATCCACTCACCCACTCTCCCTCCCTCCTTCCCTTCCTCCCTCCCTCCGTCCCCTGCTCACAGTCCAGCATCTGTCTAGGGAAGAGGCTCTCAAGCAACCTTAGATGATTATGGATTTTCTGAGCGAGAAGTTTGCCCTGAAGAGCCAGCCGAGCAAGAACAGTGACTTTTACATGGGAGCAGGAGGCACTTTGGAGCACGTTATGGAAACTTTGGACAATGAATCCTTTTATAGCAAAACATCAGGCAGCAAATGCGTGCAGGCCTTCAACCCTCTGCAGAGGGCTGAGCATCATGTGAGGTTGGAGAGGACGTCACCCTGCCAGGACAGCAACGGTGAGTCGCCATCCCAGGGCTATTCTTGCTCCTGTGCTTTGCCCTCCCTGGAGCCTGGGCTGCTTCTGTCCGGGGACACCGAAGGCAGCCGAGCAGCCTTTGGGTGGTGGCATGAGAGGGGATGTCAGGTAGTTATAATAATAATGATAATAATAATAATAGAGTAACAACAGCAATAACAACCACAACAACGATAATACCGGGAAAAGATGAGCGCTGACTTCCGAGCGCCCTCACCCTTCTAGCGCTGCCCCGCCGGCT